AAACATATCAAAACATATCAAAACATATCAAAACATATCAAAATATGTCACAACATATCAAAACATATCAAAGTATATCAAAACATATCAAGACATATCAAAACATATCAAAACATATCAAAGTATATCAAAACATACCAACACATATCAAAATATATCAAAACATATCAAAACATATCAAAACATACCAACACATATCAAAACATATCAAAATATATCAAAACAAATCAAAATATATCAAAACATATCAAAACATATCAAAACATATCAAAATATATCAAAACATATCAACGCATATCAAAACATATCAAAACATATCAAAACATCAAAACATATCAAAATATATCAAAACATATCAACGCATATCAAAACATATCAAAACATATCAAAATATGTCACAACATATCAAAACATATGAAAATATATCAAAACATATCAAAACATATCAAAACATATCAAAACATATCAAAACATATCAAAACATATCAAAACATATCAACACATATCAAAACATATCAAAACATATCAAGACATATCAAAACATATCAACACATATCAACACATATCAACACATATCAACACATATCAACACATATCAACACATATCAAAACATATCAAAACATATCAAAACATATCAAAACATATCAAAACATATCAAATCATGCTGTTTTTATCTGTTTGGCAAATTTCTTCGCACCTTCAACGCCTTCGTGCACATTTTGAGGTAGCGCTGACAATCCCGACATGGAGGCGACGGTACTTCGCACAAGTTCCTTTCGGGTGTTGGCTCAGTGCCAGGTGGCAGCGCAAAGCACTTCGACTTTATCAGGCCTTTGGTAGCTGCTTCAAATTTTGACATACGCCCCACTTGATAGATACATAAATATATAGATTCTATATGATTCTATAATAATGTAAGTTTGTTTCAGATTTTCGCTGGGTTTGTTTTGCATACGATTGTAAACTGCAAACCCCATCAGTTGCTTGGCGTGGGCAATTGCAAAGTTCAGTCGCTTTCTCTTGAGATCAGGTACAAAAGCAAAAACGCTTCTGGTGCCCTTATTTGCTGTCAAACTTTGCCGGTGCTTGTTTTTTCTTTGACTTTGCTTGTCATGCCCAGCCCTGAGTTTCGCAGAATCGAGGTATTTTCACCTGGTTGCATGTTCGGCCTGGAACATTTGACCTTTCAAAGTCAAAGGCCGGAAAACATAGAAAACCGTTTGCAAGACCATGCAAAAAATGACAAAAAACAATGACTGCCCCATTCCTCGTGTCTGGTTGGATTCCGCAAATTTTTGCTTTGAGATTTTCAGTTCCATTTTAGTTGCGTTGACAGCCAGAAGGCATTCTGTGCGTTGCAGCAAGCCTGGACCATGTTTCTTGTATGTTTCGACCTCGGGGCGTTTCGAACACTGACTGATGGACGATTCGTGGACGGTTCGTAATAATCTCTGGCATTCTCTGGCCAAAATGTAGTGCGTTTTCACACCTGGGCCAAAAATCATTGCTAATTTTTGTAAGTAGTCAAAAGAATGCCCATAGAAAGATGGAAAAAGGATGAAAAAGGTTGATAGATGACCCACTTGAATGCTTACCACATCTTGCCACTTTATTTTCAAGCTGAATGGAGATGTTCACTGGCAAGGGTATTGAAGGGCAGACCAAGAGATTGATTGCAAATGATTGCAATAATTACACGCATTGTAATTCACAGAGCACTGAACCGTTTTCACGGTGATTCAAATCCTTGAAGGAGGTCTTTCCAGAGTTGCATGATAGATATGATAGTTCTGATAGAAAATTCTGGAGGCGGAGCAAGGTGTTTTTGCTCTCCTTTGGGTGCTGTGGTAGTACACATCTTGGGTCAATGGTCTCCCAGTTCGAATTGCCACAATTCATACACAGATTATTTCTATGTTTGTATTGCTTCACAGTGTAGCTAGATGTAGCTAGACCTTTTTGCATTTTTGCCTCAAGACCCGCACTTGGGGAGTTCCACGCATTTCTGAGGTCTTGCGTCAGTCGACAATGGCAGAGGCAGAGTCACAAAAGAGAGTTGCAGACCAGGTTTGCCTTGTTTGCATTGTTGTCAAATTGTTGTCTGATGTGTTTTCTTTTAACTTTACACATCACAATTCTTCGAGGTTCAGGTCTCGAGCCCGGAGATGGTAAAGGCTCTCCAAAAGGCTGACGCATTTTTGACACCCTGAAGACAAGCCTGAAACTATCTGAAACTATCTGAAACTAGGACGTATGGGACTTGTGGGACGTATGGGACGTATGGGACGTATGGGACGTGTGGGACGTATGGGACGTATGGGACGTGTGGGACGTATGGGACGTATGGGACGTATGGGACGTGTGGGACGTATGGGACGTATGGGACGTGTGGGACGTATGGGACGTATGGGACGTGTGGGACGTGTGGGACTTGTGGGAGGTATGGGACTTGTGGGAGGTATGGGACGTATGGGACGTATGGGACGTATGGGACGTATGGGACGTGTGGGACGTGTGGGACTTGTGGGAGGTATGGGACTTGTGGGAGGTATGGGACGTGTGGGACGTATGGGACGTATGGGACGTGTGGGACGTGTGGGACTTGTGGGAGGTATGGGACTTGTGGGAGGTATGGGACTTGTGGGAGGTATGGGACGTATGGGACGTGTGGGACGTATGGGACGTGTGGGACGTGTGGGACTTGTGGGAGGTATGGGACTTGTGGGAGGTATGGGACGTATGGGACGTATGGGACGTATGGGACGTATGGGACGTGTGGGACGTGTGGGACGTCTGGGAGGTATGGGACTTGTGGGAGGTATGGGACGTATGGGACGTATGGGACGTATGGGACGTATGGGACGTGTGGGACGTGTGGGACGTCTGGGACGTATATGGGACGTATATGGGACGTATATGGGACGTATATGGGACGTATATGGGACGTATATGGGACGTATATGGGACGTATATGGGACGTATATGGGACGTATGGGACGTTTCACGTTTCATGTTTCAGTTTTGGTTGCAGAGTGGTTTCTGCTGGCTTTGCATATCCCGATTCACAGCCCTTTCAGGCCATCACCAACCTCATGATCTTACAGACGTGCGCGTGCCTGGCTTTCGACTCTCTTGTGCTTTGACACATGCGAACACATACTTGATTACTTGATCATACTTGTCTACATACAGCCCATACACACTGTACGTCGCAAAACACAACACAATGCTATCCTACACTACACTAAGATACATGATTATATATATAATCATAATTATACGTAGACACGGAGGAAGGATGACGAAGGCATATAGATTCTAGATGTTGTTTGTATGTTTCTGATTTTATGTTGTATGTGTGTACTTCGATGTTGACACGTTTGTGGTCCACGGTCGCAGAGTCGATGGGTACGGTCTCCACCTCAGTGGTGGAGATGAGGATTGTATAAATTTGAAACACAACCATGTCTAGGAGTCTAGTTGCTACATGTTGTTATGTACTTGTTACTTGTCTATGTTGCTTGTATATACTTGTATTAGATGACGATTAAATATTTTTCATTGTATTATCAACTTGCAAATAAGTATATATATTATTTGATATCACAACAGAGGGGAATTCTAGGAATGTACTGCTGTTATCAACAGTAGCACCTTTAGGTTTGCTGGTGATGATAAGCAGCTACAGGTACCCACTTGTACTTAGTTGCAATGTCAGGGATGGCCCACACTGAGGAACACACAACAGAGGACCACAAAACCACAGACACGAATAGACATCGGATATACTGTACATAATATAAATGTATGACGACAATCAGATTCGAACATGTCCGAACAATTTTAAGTTCACTGTTTGCCTCAAAGTTGTTGATACACCAGTGCTCCCAATGCTAGCCGTCAGCCCAGAGCTGCCCCATAACCAGCGGCTTCAGGAGGCTCCGGGTGCCGCAGAAAAACTTGGATGCCTTCCTGCATGAAGTGACAGACAACAGAAGTCAGATAGCGAAGAGACTGAAGACACTGAAAAGAAAGATGAAAGATGGTGAAAAGCAGTGAAAAGCAATAAGGGATATATATATATACAATATGGTTATATATCGTTCTTATTCTCTTTTGATATGTGTTTGGTCTGTGTGATGTGTGGAGATTGCTTTCTTTCCTGACTGTCATCGCTTGGAAACTTGGCTTCCACCGTGTGGCCAAGGAACTCAGGAGAACGGCTCGCTGACAAGTCTAGATACGTTCTTTGTTTCTCAAAGAAACTTGAAATGCCCGGAGTTGACCAAAGTGTCAACACTCAGCTAATGCGATGACTGTAGAGTAGCATAGTATGGCATATTATGGCATAGCATGGCATAGACTGGCAGAGCTTAGATAACATCGCTCTTTTGCAACGAAGCAGAAAGGAAGCACTCTGCCAGTGAAGTAAACGATTTGCATGGATTTGCAACCAAGCCAGGCCTTGCCTAGACAGTTTGCCCACCAGTGATTCGCAAAGCGTCGCGAAGTGACATGCTTTGTGGTGACATGTGATAAGTAGTGACCGCAAGCATCCCTCAAGATGCCAAGCTGCGAAGCAGTTGGGCTAATCTTGTGGCAGCCACTGTCTGAAAAAGGAAGACCAGCGGGCCCAGCGGGGAGTTTTAAAATGCAGACTGCATGGCACTGCATGGTCCGCGGCGCTACTCTATAATTTAATGAGAACATCCTACATGAAGATAAAGACTGCATCATTCTTCAGTGCACTGAAAAGCATCGAGACTAAGTGTTGAGGACCACAAAGCCTGGTCTGTTTGACGCTCAAATGGCACAACGTAGCAATACTTATTGTTGGACAGCTTCTTCAGCTTCAACTCATGTCGGTTTGGGATGTTTCGTGCACGTGGCTTACGACACCTCTCATTGACCAACCCGTGGCATGTGCTGCACGGCGCACACCGCTGTAGCGAAGTCCGGGGTCGCATTGGTGTCACTGGTGTCGCATGTTGGCTCAGAGAGAGACCATGCAGGTGCTCCCTCTCGGCCCTGGCCGTGCCGCGGTGAGATTGGATATGCTGAAAGGATCTGAAAGGTATGAACGCAATAGAACGCAATACTAAAGTTTAAAGATGTTTAAAGTATACCAAAGTATACCAAATTGTATGCATGTGTTGGTCAGAAATAGAATGGAGAGCAGGGCATGGTCAAGAGGAAGTCCAAGAAGAGCAAAACAATATCAGTCAGTACCTTCAGTTTCTGAGGTGATACCATACCCGGCCTTACATTCGAAAGCGAAGCACGGGCCCAAGTGCATCAGAGTCACACAGAAATGATTTTCTGAAATATACAGAAGTATACTGAACTACAGTGAACTAGACTAACTAGACTGAAATGTTGGAATGGAAAGTTCCACAAACGTAGTTCGCACAGTCTTTGCTTGGGCCTATGGCTGTGTCAAAAGACCTTTGCTTCTGAAATCTCCTGGCCACCAGGTTTGATGAGGAATACCAGGAATTCCTTGAGATTTCAGACCTGGTGCTTTTTTGCACTCAGCATACCAGGCAGATGGAAAATTAATCCAGCTCACATGACTTTGTTGCAGCCTGCAAGTTTAAATCCAAGCCCCCTGTGTTGAATGAGAAATCCATTGGTTTCCCGTGTCCCCGGTCTTGAACCGTGAATAATTTCATGTTAGTTTGTATTTATTTCAAAGTCACGTTTTTAGAGAATCGGAGGACAGCTGGGCAGGTGCTTTTGGCTTTGGCGAATCTCAAAAGTTTCTGGTAGTTTCATCTCCAGCAACTGGACGACACTACCTCAGTGCATCCAAGAGACAGGTCATGCCCAGTCATCCCAGTCATGCCCTCGATGACGGCTAGTGGAAGATCAAGAAATTGGGACCGCTAATGGCTAAGCTCCTCAAACCCCCAGCTAACCCAATTGACACACGGGTGACACGGAGAGTGGTGCTGCCACGGGAATCATTGAAGACAAGAGATGTAAAAATTGTTGAACAAGCAGATCTTCGAAATCTCAACAGACTATCTATATACAGCGAGCATGCTACAGCAAGTGTTGACAGACATGCTCTTTCCAAATCTGTTCAACTGAGACGTGGCCTACTTGAAGCTACCTTCTGATGGATCGCCAGCTACAGCAACTGGGCAGGTCGGGCAGACTGGGACATTCAGAATTGCTGACCGAGACTTGGCTTGTCTCTTGCCCAGGTAGTTCACGATAAGCAGCGAATACAGCGTACCATACGGCTGTGTAATTTGTGAATGAAAAATGAAGGCTATGAAGACGCTGATTTCTTCAGAGCTGCATTCTCAGCTTTCCGATCAGCTGGGATGAGGGCAGAGATCAAGATGTTTGCCAAACTCAAGATATACCTGATAAGCTTGGCATGCCATGTAGAGGGTGCCGCAACCCATTGGTTTTCCATATCCAAGCGCTTGTTGATGCTTGTTGGCCAAGATTATTCTTGTCCAGTTTGCGAAAAACGACATGGAAAACACGTGGACAGATCGGCAACAAAGCCCGTAGGTGGACCCAGACGGACAAGGAAATTCTATGAAATTCTGGTGGAGTTGCTTTGCTTGGAGTTTGGTGGCCAAGGCTAGTCTTCCCACAGGGAATTGCCATTGATGATCACAGGCCCTCTCTGGGCATGGTGTATGTTCCAAATTGATCCAAATCTCAGTTTCAACATGTTTGGAACAGTCATGTAGACTGATGTAATCGCTGACTGCGAAGTTTCTCCCAAGTGCATTGAAGCTCAAGTTCCGACGAGGAAGTCCAGTTCGACTCTGAGATTAGCCAAAAAGTGGTTCAGTTCATGCTCTGCCCAGGGGACGGCTATTTGTGGCGGACCCGAACAAAACAGGGTTGGCCTGGGTCTTACGTCTCATTCTTGTGGGCTGTTACAGGCTGTTACAGGCTGTTACAGGCTGTTAGCTGTTAGCCACTTGTTTGCCAGTTCCACAATGCCACTGATCTGTGGTGCTACAGCCTGTGGTGATGTATCTGGGACTTGCTTGACTCCGATGGGCCTCCCTTTGCGTTGTCCGACTTGTCCGACTTGTCCGACTTGTCCGACTTGTCTGACTTGTCCCTGCATTTTTATGCATTTTTTAATTTTGTTTTTTTGGTAGGCAGGAGGTTGATAGGATAGGCCCAATTACCCTGCGTCTCTGCGTAGGTCATGTACTCTATTTCATCCAACGGTGATACGTTAAGACCTCGGATGGTGTTTCTTTGAAGTTCAGTTTGCAAGTTACCTAGAAATTTACAAGATTTTCAAACTCAGAGCAAACATAGTTGTTCGTGTGGTTTGGTAAAGTGGTTGGGGTGTCTCCTACTGTCTTGGCACGCCTCACACTGAGGCTTTCTGTTGGCAGCCCAAAGATTGTTGCATCAGGTGTACAAACTCGTGCGCCGGACTTAGTATGCCCAAAGGATGTCAATCTGACGTCTATTTTTTTATAATAAATAAATCTATTAGTGTCAGCAAAAGATGACTTGCGAGTCAGTCATACTGATGTACGTTTACAAGCGCATCATAATCTCAGGAGGCATGTCTTTTCTTCCTTGTGTTAGTTCTCTCGGTGCGACTTGTTTCCAGGTGCAGCTTCCTCCCCATGTTTCAGCAGCTTTGATGTTTATAAGTTTGAACATCCCAGTAGAGAAACAAGAGGTATTTTTGTAAAGACCGCGTTTCAGTCTTGTTCGGAATCTTTGCCAAAAACTTGTCACTGCCATGAAGCTGGTGGTGCTGAGAACTTTCTTGGGATTTGCCACACTTTCAAGCACCCGAGGCGGTTGCTGTCGATGCACTCGGCAATGCGGTTTTCTCGGATGAACCCACCAACCGGCTGATGAGAGTTTACTGGGCAGGTTTGAAATTGATGCATATTTCATCACATTTTCATCACATTTCATCACATTTCAGCACGTTCGGGAAGCGACTTGCTGCTCTTGCTGCCTTGTGCGCAATTTCTTTTGGCTCAGGGATTCCCCTGGAAGTTTCCTTGTGGCATGTCGTCGTGCCAAGCCCATGACATCAAGATTTCCAGCCTTGGTTTGTGCCTTGATGAGATAGCTTGTTTGTTCCCTTTGGCAAGTCATGGGTGTGAGACATTGTGAGATTTTGCCGTTCTTCTCTTTTCTTCTCTTTTCTCTCCTATGTCCAGAATGTATTAACTTCTCCAGTATTACCCTGTTCGGTCTTAGTGGTCTCAGCCGCTTTACGGTACACCGACGATGATGAGGATACGCAATGATACGCACAGATGACTGTTCAGGATTGTTCAGGGACAATCATGGAGAAAGTCCTGTATGAATAGCATGTATGCGATTGCATCCATGAATATGATATGTGATTTACACATAGAGTCAAAAATGACAAAGGCACAGACGAATATCATGAATCCATACATAGGCACACACTTTGTAGATATTTATTCATGTATTAAGTATGCAATTTGATATGACCTGCTCGATTCCTCCTCTTGTGGATTCTATTTGCTTTTCTGAATTACGAGACGATGACTTAGCTGTTTCCCCGCATCCCAAACAGCGACGTTGGTGAATTTGGACTGCTGCGCCGACACCTGACGACACATGAGGACACGTGACGACACATGACATGTGATGAGATGTGATGAGATGTGATGACCTTTTCTGGTACTGCACCAACTGACATGTTACTGCACCAAAGGACATGTCCCAATAATTACAACATATGCGATCATATGCGGTTCACAATAATTCACATAATGATTGCACAAGTCATGTCACCATGTGCAATGTCACATAGTCACAGTCACCATCGGTAAATGCCCGCAAAGTCCCGCAACGTCCCAAGGAAAGGAGATCGGGAGGTCCGTCGGGTGTTGCGTCGAGCACTTCGAGACGCATGGCCGGCAGCTCGCCGCTTTGGCTGGGAACTGCTTCGCCTCTGTGAGCTGCACGTCCTGGACGAACATGTCGGTCCCTTGACGGCATCGCGTTTCGATCATTTTCGTACACGATTTTTGATGGTTAATAAGAAGTCACTGGATTAGGAATGTCTGTGAAATTGAGAAACAATGAAAGATTGAGGTTGTGAGGAATCAATCAATGAGCACATGGTTGTTGAGATGTCAAATGAAGTGGCATGAAATAAATGACATGAAAGAACGAAGGCATGAGTGAATGAAACGATGAATCAATAAGCCAAAATCAAAGAATCTAAATACCAATGACTTAATCAATCAATGACGCAGTGATTCAAAAACACTGAACCAATGAATCAGCAGATCTATGAATGAAAAGAAAGGCTTGAATGAAGTGAATTAAATGAATGAAATGAAATTACACAATGAAATAAATTAATGAAATGAAATGACATGACATGAAATGAAATGAAATGAAAGAAATGAAAGGAATGAATGAAATTATATTATATTATATTATAATATAATATACTATAATATGATATTGTAATATAATATAACATAACATAATATAATATAATATAATATATAACATATAATATATAATATATAACATATAACATATAATACATAATATATAATATATAATATATAATATATAATATATAATATAATATATATATATTATTATATTATATTATATTATATTATATTATATTATATTATATTATATTATTATTATATATATATATGAAATGAATGAAACGAAATTATATGAAGGAAACAATAATGATATAACATGGAATGAAATGGAATGATTGAAATGAAATGCGTTGGGTGAAATGAATGAAACAAATCGAACTGATTTGACCCGAACTGAGTTGAATTGGAATTGAACTGAGCTGAATGAGATTAATCAAATGAATCAAATGAATGACATGAATGAAATGAATGAAACAAATGAAACGAATGAAATGAAGGGAATGGAACAAAATGGAATGAAAAGAAATGATATGAAATGAACGAAGTGAATTGAACTGAGCTGAGTTGGGTTGAATTGAGTTGAATTGAATTGGAATGGGTATTGACTTGAATTGAATTGGAGTTGAATTGGAAATTGAGCTGAATTGAAATGACATGCGATGAAATGAACTGGAACAAAATGGAATGAAACAGCATGAAATGAATGAAATGAATGAAATGAGTGAAGTGAGTGACATGAGTGAAATGAATAAAATGCACGAGATAAGTGGAATGGAATGGGACGGAATGCAATGGATTGGATTGGAATGGAATGAAAGGAAATGGCGTTAATTCTTTTGACTAATGGATGAAGTGAACGAACCTATGCATGAGTGAAATGATTCAAAGGGATAAAATGCATGAAAGGACTGACTGACTGACTGACAGACTGACTGAAGGAATGAATGAATGGAAGGATGCACGGGTGAGTGAAAGGATGACTGCATGATGCATTGACTGATTGAAGGAATGCATCAATGAATGAATCAATCAAGAAGGAATGTGTGCATACATGCGTGCATCAATCAATCAATCAATCAATGATTGAGCTACCCAGTCCCTAAGCCAAAGCTTCTCTGAAGTACCTCTTCTCTCAGCTACTTCTCTGACCCGCTTCTGCTCTGAGATATACCTCCCTCTTTCAACTTCTTCTTTGAGCTCATGTAACCCAATTCTTCTCTTCCCCCAGCTGTTCCAATACGTTTGACGACGAGAGTGGCACCTCCCTCCCCACAGCCGTGCCAATGCGTTTTGCCACCTCCACGTGCGTCCCGCGATCTCGCGCGTAGCAGGGGCGTCGTGCCAAATTGGCCAACAGGCACGCAAAGTATACAATGCGGACTTTTCCGCCACCCCAAGTGCCTCATTTTTTGGCAAATCAAGGTCCCGCTGCAGTCCGATGCGCATTTTTCCGACCTCATCTTCGTAACGAGTTTTGCAGCCTTCAACTTTTTTTTGCATTTTTCCGCCAATTGAGCTCTCGCTACAGTCTTGTGCGCTTTCGCGGAAGCATGGACCTTCCCTTGGCAACCCCTCCGCCACCATCCCGGTAAAAACACAGTGGCTCACGCATTTCCATTGTTCCACACCGAAACTCATCGTGGGCTCCGATCGTGATCAACTGTTTCCACGTGATCCATCACAGTGTTGCTACCAGTGTGGTTGGCATGATGCTGTGAAGACTGTTCGCCTGTAACTTAGCAGTTTGTGAATTAAATGTCCTTTAGTTATCTTTAGTTATTTGTCTATCTCCTCCCATCATTCTTCACATGTATCTATATACATGTTTGTTCATTTGTTTGTCTCTGTCCATCCATCCACCTGATCTATGTAGCCAGCAGCTGTCTATCTACTGTAATTTTCCATCTGTGATACGTATGGCTTCACAAGTTGTTGGAAAAGCAGAACTTTTTGCTCAGTCTGTATATAGATGTATAACTGTGTAACTCCTAAGCGGTTCAGGGTTGCACCACGGCAGGCCGGAGGGTCATCCGCCAAAGTCTCTTCTGAGGATACACAAATGAGGACCGGACTATCTATGTGAAGGTACGAGACCCTGTACGAGGCCATGGTAGCTTCTACCCCTACAGCTTCATCTTGGCCACGTTGCTGCATGAATTGACGCACTTGTCCTTCGAGGGCCATGGAAAGGCGTGGCAATGCGTGGCAAATGTTTAAGTTCATTCCTCTTCTGCGATGCGATCTTTGGGTATTATTGCTTAATCTTCGTTGCTTTGGAACCAATCCACATTGGTGTCGTTTCTTAATTTCACCAAACACAAATTGAAAGAAGGAAGCAAAGTAACCAATTTGTTGATCACTTCGAAAATGGACATGATGCGCACATACAACAAATTGTTTTACAGGAAACGGTAGCAATTCTTCGTATGACCATGCATCGCAGTGAGGTCAGTTACCCGCGCAGTGTGGGCCATTCAACTCCACAGTTCCAAAACGAACCATTTGAAAAAGCTATCTGAAGCATCCTGAAGCCAAGTGCTTCTTCAAGCCATTGAATCGCACATGCGTTTTAGGATTCAACACCCAAGGTCGGACTGGGTGTAAACACGCGTCAGTCCGTCACAAGGAGGTTGAACACGGTTTGATCAGGGCAGCGCCTTTTTCCCCCTCTACCTTGCATGCCCTTCCCAGACGCAATCTGGAAGGCCTTCTACAGACGCTTAGCTCATGCTGCTGCAGCATGTGGTGCTGAACCTGCAGTTCGCCGTGAAGTCACGTGACATGAAGTCTGTCAGTTAACTTTTCAGTGAGCGCATGTCTTGAAAGTGTCATCGGTATGTTTCGTTTTGGTTTGACCTCAATTCTGGCTGCAATAAATGTAGAATTGTGAAATCAGATAAATAAGTAAAATGAAATTAACCAATATATATAAATATAATTAAATATATATATATACATACATAGGCACCTAAAGGACGTAAATTTAGTCAAGCCAACCTTATTTGAGCGACAGCAAGTGCTTACTCTTTGGGTTCCTTTGAAAGCTAACTCACGATGCAGGGTGCTGGAGGTGCTGCCCACTTCGCAGAGTGCTATGTTACCAATGTTTCTGTTTTTTCTCTTTCTTCAAATTATTTCAAACGCGTTCAGCTTCATTCCCTTTTAGTCAGCAAATAGATTCAGAATGATTTGAAAATTTTCAAGATTCGGCTGTCTCGCATGCTTTCTTGCTAATGCCAGCTTCGCTTCGTGCTCTTTGAGGTTACTAAACATTTTTCGATCGTGCTACACTTTGCTTTCCAGGGCTAAAGGTTTTTGAATTCTTGTTCTTGTGCTATGGGTTCACTTGGGCTTGACATCCGTCTTTCAGCACATTTGATCTCAGGTTCATTCACACGTTTGCTCTGAGCTTCTGAATGCTGTTTGCGAAAACGATGCCCCACGGGCCAAAGCCCTGCTGGCTGTCCTTCCAGAGGCCGGCTGGGGTCATGGACATGAAGGCATATTTGGTCTTCGCAGGAAGCGAGTGCATTGCAATTTTGGCAACGTGGCTGTACATGAAGTGCAACAAACAGTTGTGCGTGAACCGAATTGCGCTGTATAAAGATTTCTGTGTCAATGATGAAAACAAGCTTTTGGTTTCGGGGCCTTTTTGGGCCCATGTTGAGACTATGTTGAGCCTATGTTGGGCCAAGAACGGCGTGTTCTTTTTGGGCCTGGTGTCAAGGCCTAAAAGGACACGCCGTTCTTGGGACATGTTGGGAGCCACGTTGGGCCTATGTGGGGCCCATGTTGAGCCTAGGTCGGGCCTATGTTGGTCCATGTTGGGCTCTTGTTGGTCCAAAACGGGGGGCATCATTTAAGCCTTGATTTAAGAGCGATGACAAAAATGAGCCTTTGGTTTTTTGTGCCATGTTGGGGCCATGTAGGGCCTATGCTGAGCTTATGTTGGGCCAAGAACGGCGCCCAAATGCATACGCCGCTTTTGAGTCTTGTCGGGGCCATGTTGGGCCTACATTGGGTTTATGTTGGTACGTACCTGTGGGATGGTTGAACAGCCTTGGGTGAAAAGTATATGGGTGAGAAATATATGGGTGAAAGACGGTGGGTGAAGAGTCTCTGGGTGAAAAGTCTACGGGTGAAAGGTATATGGTTGAACAGTCTGCGGGTGAATAGTATATGGGTGAGAAGTATATGGGTGAAAGACTGTGGGTGAAAAGTCCCTGGGTGAAAAGTATACCGGTGAAAAGTCTGTGGGTGAAAAGTATGTGGGTGAGACGGGTATGGGTGAAAAGTCTGAGGTGCAAAGTCTGTGGGTGAAACGTCTGTGGGCTTAAAGTGTAGGGATGAAAGTCTGTGGGTGAAAAGTATATGGTTGCACAGTCTTGGGTGAAAAGTATATGGGTGAGAAGTATGTGGGTGAAAAGTATGTGGGTGAAAAGTATATGGGTGAAAAGTATATAGGTGAAAAGTATATAGGTGAAAGTCTGTGGGTGAGAAGTATGTTGGTGAAAAGCCTGTGGGTGAAAAGTCTCTGGGTGAAAAGTCTATGCAAGAAGAGTTTCTGGGTGAAGAGTCTCTGGGTGAAAAGTATATGGGTGAGAAGTATATGGGTGAAAGACTCTGGGTGAAAAGTCTGTGGGTGAAAAGTATATCGGTGAAGAGTCTGTGGGTGAAAAATCTTTGGGGGAAAATAGGGGTAGATGGGATGCTGGCTTTCGTTCCCCCCTTCTCAGGTACATTCACAAATCACTATGCACCAATAACTTCATTCATCATTCATCATCCTTCAACATCATTTATCTTCATATCGTCTCTTGCATCCTCTTTGGATCTACTCCCTCCTGCTTTTCTTTCGGCCCAAACTGTCGTCTAGTTTCAGATTGTTACAGATTTTCTCACATCGTATCAGATCGTTTCAGTGTGTCAGCAGGCAGCCCGTTGTCGTCCGCTACAGCCGGGCGGTCAGCTCCCTCTGGAATATGCAGCTCATCATGGCAGGGTCAATTTGACCAAACTTCTCATCCAGGCACGAAACTTGGCAAAGTGGGATGATGCACATGTTTGCAGCCTTGTATACCATTATATTTTCTTCCATTATCCAACTGTCAACTTGCCACAAGCAAATTCAATTGCTCCTTGGTACTTTGCAGTCAAGCCGCAATGACTTCATGGAAGTTCATCAAAAAATTGAAGTATATGGTTATCATGGCTGCCATGGTTTCATGTTGTACTGTGAGGCCGGTTTGTGACTGATTTCAGGCAAGAGCTGATCCAAATTCTTGTGGTGAGGCAGGAAGGATGCGGCCTTCTGCGAAGGGATGTGGCAATCGTTAGTCGCAAGCATTGCGAAATCATCCGGTTATGGATTGTGTGCATGTGACTTTGCAAACTTCAGAACATTGGCCAATTGTTTGACGGCCTGCTAGATTGCTTGAAACATCATTATAAGATATTATAAGCCCCCCGACCTCCGGGTCTTCAGCTTAAGTCTTACACCATTCCGCTATTTAAAACAATCATCTTGATTTTAATCCTTGCCTGAAGTACTTGACTGCTGTGACATCTTGTTTTTTCTTGTGCCTTGGCAGTGGCAAGATGCGTACGTCATTTCTACATGCTACGGTCAGTGTATCCATCCTGGATCAGCCCACTAGTTTTGAACTTCTTCATTTCCTGGCCCTTTGAGGGCCTACTGCAGAGCGGTGTTATGAGTGGGCACCGGTCTGCTGAGAACAACTTGATCGCTGAGCCCGTATTACCTGGTGTAAATATGGTGATCGATCTAAAGGTCCTTGTAAGGAGTTTTAATTGCGAAATCCGTGCATGTTATGTTGGAAACCCTCGCGAAAGTTTTTTTGGTTCGAGTTCGCGAAAGTAACATTTTTTTTTGCGAAAGTTTCGCGAAAGTTGGATATCATGATTGCCTAACAAAGGTTCTGCGAAAGATTCACATGGAGTTCGCGAAAGTTTCGCGAAAGTAACATGTTTATTCTCGAAGAATGGCCGTTCCTGGATAAAGGAATTTTGATCAACCACCATGTGACTTTGCTGCCTCTAGGCGTTCGCTTCTCAACACAGATATGTTCGTCCCCAAGAAAAGCGGATGTTTGATCTGCATTTGCCACTGCACTAACTGCAGTGGACAAACAGGCTGGAGTGCCACCTCTGGCGAGGGCAGCATCACAGGGGAACACCAAGGCGTTGGAGCAGATAGTCTATCAGTATCTATCAGTCATAATAATGGTAGGAGATGTTCATCCAATTTCATCCCTAAATTTTAATCTAAATCTGCATCCATTGCATCCATTCCATCACTCATTCGCTTTCGTCCTCTGCTTCTTTTCGTCAGACATAATGCAATATACCAGATACATCGGTTCTTCTGTATTCACAAATCGGATTTCAGTTCCACGTCAGACTCTTCGCGTGCTCTTGGATGCTGGAGCCTCTCGCGGGATGACACGGTTGCCAGAGCTCCAGCGCCGCGAGGCAGGGCGATGACACAAACAGTACATGACAGGAACAGTAAGTAACTGGCTACAGAAGGCACATCAAGGCACACAAGACTGCCTTCAAAATTGCACCAGCTTTGCCAAACTCCCAAAGGACCCCAAAGGAAACATGAGAGCCAAAGAAGAGAGATTCTCGAATACCTAGAAAGCGCTGGAAATCTGAGAGATCAAGTGATGCCACGCCATGCCAAATCTTGTTGAGTTCAAGTCTGACAAGGTACAGAGAGTGACTTCGCTTCCGGTCTTGAGAGTTGAACGCAAAGAGCGCAGCGAGCGCTCTGACCCTTTGGTCCCTCTGGCAGCATCCCTTACTTGTACTCTGACGCAAAATGCGCAGAGACAACACGCGACATGCGGATACACGATGATAGATTCAGATGAATTCACATTGGAATGATACGCAATGATTCTTCTCAGACCATGAAAACAATGTAAATAATGTTTCACTTTGCCTCGTGCAAAAAGCGTTGCTTGGGCGGCCTGGGGTTGCTTTTCCATTCTGACATGCTCAAGGCCTTGCAACATCTTGTAACATCTTACAAGACTGTTTCAGTATGTTTCAATTTGCTCTGGACCCCTGCCAGGTTTCTGCACAGATGATCAACGAAGGCAAAACAACGCCAGAGCCGGGGCCTGAGTTGACAAGCCAAATCACGCAGTGTATGTTTAACATGTCTTGAATTTCGTGAATTTCTCGCATTCAACCTGTTGAATTCCAGGGTGCTTTACGATGGAGCTTCCGTGTCATCGGTCAAGTCACCAGGAGGTCCGTGAAACTTGCAGGATGGCGTTGAGCATTGTGCTACACTGTGACTGAATAAATAAATAAATAAATGAATAAATAAATAAATTAATAAAAATAAATAAATAAATATAATTAAATATATATATAATTATTATATTGCTGATGAAGGTATATACATGGGATTACATGTGTTTACAATATAAATATATCAATGTATGTATGTGTTGGAATGTAATGTAATCTAAATCTAAATCTAAATCTAAATCTAAATAATCTAATCTAATCTAATGCAATGTAATGCAGTTAATGTATGGTATGTATGGTTCGGTATGGTACTGGTATGGCATGGCATGGCATGTATGCAATGTATGCTATGTATGCAATGTATGCTATGTATGCTTTGTATGTAATGTATATAATCTAATGTAACCTAATGTAATCTAATGTAATGTAATTTAATCTAATGAAATGTAATGCAATGTAATGCACTGTAATGCACTGTAATGCAATGTAATGCAATGTAATGCAATGTAATGCAATGTAATGCAATGTATGTAAAGCATGTAATGTACTCCAATCTAACCTCACCTATATAATCTAATCTAAATTAATGTAAAAGTAATGTTATTTAATGTGATGTAATGTAATGTAATGTGATGTAGTGTAATGTGATGTAATGTAATGTGATGTAATGTATGTTGTGTGTGTTACGTATGTTTGGTTATGTTTGGTTATGTTTTGTTATGTTTTGTTTTGCTTTGTGATGGTATGCATGCATGTATGTATGTCTGTTTGTTTGTTTGTCTGTCTGTCTGTTTGTTTGTATGTATGTATGATTATGTATGATTATGTATGATTATGTATGTATGTAATGTTATGTTATGTTATATTATGTTATGTAATGTTATGTAATGTTATGTAATGTTATGTAATGTTATGTAATGTTATGTAATGTTATGTAATGTTATGTAATGTTATGTTATGTAATGTTATGTTATGTAATGTTATGTAATGTTATGTAATGTATGTAATGTATGTAATGTATGTAATGTATGTAATGTATGTAATGTATGTAATGTATGTAATGTATGTCATGTATGTAATGTATGTCATGTATGTAATGTATGCAATGTATGCAATGTATGTAATGTATGGAATGTATGGAATGTATGTAATGTATGGAATGTATGTAATGTATGTAATGTATGTAATGTATGTAATGTATGTAATGTATGTATGTAATGCATGTATGTGTGTAATGTATGTATGTACTGCATGTAATGAATGTAGCGTAATGTAATCTAATATACTGTACTGTGGTGTCATGTAATGTGATGTAATATAACGTATTGTTTGTTTGTTTGTTTGTTTGTTTGTTTGTCTGTATATCAATGAATGTGGTATTTGTATGTGGTATTTGTATGTAGTATATGTATGTGGTATATGTGTGTGTATGTGTGTATGCGTGTATGTATTATATGTATGTGGTATATGTATGTGGTATATGTATGTGGTGTATGTGTGTATGTATGTGTGTATGTGTGTATGTAATTGTATGTATGTATATGTATGCGGTATATGTATGTGGTATTTGTATGTGTATATGTATGTGGTATATGTGTGTATGTATGTGTGTATGTGTGTATGTATCTGTATGCCTGTATGCCCGTCTGCCTGTTTGTTGTCCGTCCGTCGGTCTCTCTGTCTGTATGTATGCATGCATGAATGTAATGTAAGGTAACGTAATGTAACGTAATATAATGTATATAACGTATGTAATGTAATGTATATATTAATGTAAGGTAATGTAACGTAATGTGATGTAACGTAACACAATGTAACGCAATGTGACGTAATGTAACGCAATCAAACTAATTTAAGGTAATGTAACGACATGTAACGAAATGTAACGTAACGTAATGTAATGTATTATATGTGACACAACCGGAAAACGCAGGAGAACCCTCCTATCTTGAGATTTGTATCATATAAGAAAGAGATGTTCTTCGTTTTTGATTGTCTCGGCACATGAGGACAAGAATCAGATTGGAGGTACTCGCAACCGATCATATAGGTATCCAAATGCAACCTTGGCAAAGTTTACCGGCTTTCAATTTCAATATATTCAATATGCTTTACTGATGAAAAATTGTGCAAAGGCGTTGCCTCCGACAACTACTTTGTATACTGGCTGAACAAGGCTGGCACTGCCCAGGCAGGGCCGACCTTTAGACGCATCCAGCAAGTCACGTGAGATCTAAATAATGAGCAAGATGCATGAAACAACGCATAGCAATACCATTTCTTTGACCATGTTTTTCCTTCGTTCGATTTGCGCTTGAAATCCGGCAGGCTGGCACCTTGAACAGAGGGTTGCAGTATGGGACAGTCGGAGCCACAGAGGCTTCATTAGGTTTCCTACTGCCCATTGTCGGGAGCTGGCGATGCAGCGACACTGAGCCGTGCGGAGTCTACTCCCCGGAAATCCTCGAATCAATCATGAGTCATGAGATATTCATGAGATATTTTAGCATTCCTGGGCTGACCAATATCGCGCAAGGCTAAGAGATGGGAAACACTTGGCAAACTTGCTCGGTGTGAAACACCTTGTTCCCATACACCAGACCTGTCAATGACCAACGTTCCAGCCTGTAGCATGTGACGCTTGCCTGCCGTTTTCCTGCCGCGGGTTGGATGTTCCAAGATCATCCAAGACATTATTTGAGGTAATTACAGGTAATTCACTTTGCAGATCAGCCGAACCCACCAAAACAAAAAAACCTTCCCCAGCAGCCCCAAAACCAAAGGTCGGCCCAGCCATAGGAATAGAACATGATGAAAGTGGTGGGGCATAGGTGGTACAGGCTTTGCGAGTTCCGAAACTCATCGCCTCCTCCAAGATGCCTAGCTCGCGCAAAGTCTGCAAATACATGTAGGGAACATCGTGTAATTTTCGGGAAACCTTTTGGCATCTTATGATTTCTTATGATTTATGATATATCTTATCAAATCCGATCAGTTTTGGCGTAGTTTGCAGTAGCAGCATTTTTGGCACGCAGACAGCTTGCCCAAGTGCCTTTTTTTTGGGGGGTTACATGCAAACCCTTGAAACTTGATTGCAAATTGATGTAATTCCCTCCTTTTGTGATGTTGTTTGCAAGGCCCAGAGCTTGTTGAATGCATCGAAGGGAATTCAGGCAATGAGCACAGGAGTTGGCATCACGGTATGAATTGGTTTCATCGCAGGTATGTGTTGACATTGGCACATCGTTGTTTGCCGATTCGTCGATTGAAGCATTCTTTGCTCACCAGATGTTGGCCAACAATGCCCTGAAGTGCTACGGAGTCTGTCTCGCAGCAGGACCTTGGCCAAGACCAGAATGCAGAGAGAAATAGATACCGTAGATACCATATAAAGGAACAGCGAATGGCCCGTGAAATAGACTGGGAAAGAAGATTGAAGCAATTTGAAGACTATTTGAAGATTTTCAAGGCTTTCCTTGACCCATTTTCCATAGATGTTAGTTTTCCTCACCCCAGGACACATCTTCTATACAGACGAGGCGTCCAATCTGCCGCAAACCCAGTCTGTTTCTGCCTATCAAACAAGCATAAAGAAGGAGTCCTTGCGTGGTTAGTTTGGGTGTGGTTGCCACTGCAAGGGTTTGGATCCATAAGATACGGCGCAAGAAGCATATAACAAATTTTGTCAACAAGATTTAGTCATTCTTTGGCCCTCAAAGGTACGGAATCAACCGAGCTGCGACGTCTCGCCATGTCGTTACTACGATCTCATCACAACTACAGGTGCGTTATTGTTGCTTTCTGGTGCTCCAACATGTTAGCACCCTAAGCCCAGCCTCAACAAAGAACAAGTTGGAGCTGAAAATGCATGGAAGAGGCTGCATTTAGCTGCAGGCTCCACGTGGATGCGTGCACGATGGTGCGGGAACGGTCTATGCCAGGGCCTGTATCTTGTACATTCTTGTACTAGGTACATTGCGTTCTTCTGACATGCAGACACCATGACACACTCATGTTTCTAGCTTGAGAACTCCCTAGAGTGACTAGCAAGAAGTGAATGCACCTCCAATGAAACGTATGCCATTTTGGCTGCAAGGGTTTTAACCATGTAGCCTCCTTCCTCCCCTTTTGAAATTTAGGGGGAGGTGGAGGCGCGATGAGCCTGTTTGGTTCATGGCACGAGGCAACCCAGCTTAGGGATCTTCAGGAGGTACTGGATTACCTGGGGATGGGCCGTCAAGCTTGGCAAGCTTTTACAGAGCAAGTTGGAGATCCAGCAAACGACATCAGGCTCTTCAGCGCTTTGCCGAGGGTGGCTGTTGTCCAGGCCTGTGGACAAGCAGCTTTCCCTGACGGATCTCCATTACTTCCATTACAGGCTACTCAGGTGGGATTGGTGTGGCGCCTCTGCAGAAAGGTTGTCGCCGCAAGAGCGGGAATGCTGGAGTCCCAATTCGTGGACATCGACCCGTGGGGTGAGCCGACAGCCCAAAGGTCCAGTGATGGAGGCAGCAGTGTACATGGGCAAGCGGGACCGGGTACACCCACGTCAGGGTCAACTTCGATAAAAGAGAGGGTCCTCAAAATGTCCTCCTTGGTGGATGCACAGGATGAGTCGGAGCTGCTGCCACCAACGAATGAGCAGGTCAATAATTGGACCCAGGCCTATGTGACGATCATGGGATCACTCCCTGACCCGGCAGAAGAACCGACGGCAGCACAGTTGGCGGCGTTGGCAAAGCGCACCTTGGTCCACGATGGTGCGCCCTACACGGACTTCAGCGTTTGGACACCCTTTGCACGTCGGACGATAAAGAACCAGAAGTTCAGGACTGTCTTCCCCTTAGGGGATGGTTCATATCTCACAAAGGAGCTCCCGGGCCCGAACAATTTCCAGATGTGGTTGGGGTGTTGGAGAGTTTTCAAGTCGGCTGCACTGATGCTCAACATAGCAACCTTAGCAGCCCTCACCAACTATGAACGTTTTGTGGAACGATTGGTGACGCAGTGGCCTCTATGTTGGGGATTGATAGCACAAGCGGAGGACAAGATGAGGGCTGAAGGCTTGGAACGCTTGAGACGGAAAATCATGACCTCAGCGGCATTGGGCAGACAGATTCCAGTGAATTGGGATCCAATGAGACCGTGGACAGCAGTCCTTGACATGGCGATCATGGAGGTTGAGTACTGGGCAGAAAACGTCCACCATCCTGCAGCAGCTTGGCTTGCTTCAGGCAGTAAGGGGAAGCCGATAGTGGCTTCAGAGATAGCCCTCCAAGCACACATGCCAGGAGGCAACCATGACTTGAGTGCCGAGACAACGTTCGACGAGGGCAAGAGGCGCACTCAGGCGAACCGAGACAAAAGACAGGCTCGGAAAAGAAGGGTCTTTGAGGAGAGAGAAGAGTTGAAGAAGTTTCGGAGCAGTCAACACAGTCAGACAGCTTCGGAGTCAAAGTTCTCCCAGGGCAAGGGCCAATCCAAAGGGAAGACGAAGGATCAGAGCGGAAAACCGCTGTGCTTCGCGTGGAGTGCAGGCAATAGCCCTTGCGGTCATTTGGGACCAGGCTCTGAGTGCTTGGGGACAGTGAAGCGGGTCCACAAATGTAGGATCTGCCTGTCTCCGAGTCATCAGGAGGCCAAGTGCACTTCGAAGTGAGTGCGCGGAAAAGGGAGGGGCTTGCTTCATCCATGGCATGGTAGGTTTGATTGATTTGGTTTTGTCTTTTCGTTTATTTTGGGTTGAACGTGAAACATTCAAACATGGTGATTCAATTTGTTGTGACATGTCGCATGAGGGTAGGTGGGATTTCCTTGTGTCATCTCGTGTCCTGGCAAGTCACTGTGAGAATTGATGTTTGGAGTGCAGTGACATGGATCGAGATTAGGAAGTCTGGGTGCCTCATTCAAATTGCATGGATAAGTTTCATGGTTGTCCTGATGAGTTGCTGACTGAGCGGTAACCTGTTACAGGGCAGCGGTGTGGTTCAAGATGTCAGTCCTGTCTGAATCTTCAGACAGCTCGACTGACCCGACCTCGGAACCTGCAGGGCCAGAGGGGTCGGGGGGTGCGGCCGAGAGCACATGTCAGGCCAAACAGCCGGAGGAACAGTTGCTCGAGACGGCGAAAACAGCGGTGGTGCCTGATCGAGTCAAGGCTGCACTTGAAGAGTCACGAGACTTCGGGAAATTCAGGGAGAAGAGGAGCTTCCACTTCTTACACATGTTCAGCGGCCCAGATGACAGACTGGGAGCCGCGCTCATTGAAGAAGGGTCGAAGGCTGGGCTCACAGTGAAGGTGGAGAGCTTAGACAACAAGAAGGACCCCAGCCTTGACCTCAGGAAAAGCGAGACGATGGCCGACTTCGAGAAAAAGATCTCCGAGGGCCAGTACGATGGGTTTCACTCGGGGTTTCCGTGTGGAAGCTTCAGCCGAGTGAGGTGGGTTGAGAATGTGGGCATGCCTGGACCAGTCAGGTCTAGAGAGTTCCCATATGGGCTGCCCACCAATGACAGAACCCAACAAGAAGAAGCTGACAGTGGCACCCTTATGGCGACTAGGTCCTTGAGCCTCATGCAGAAACAGGTGTGGTCACAAAGGAGCAGACGGGTGCCGCAAGCAGCCACTGTAGAAAATCCTCCAGGGGACGACGATGGTCCGGCGGGGAGTGCATGGATGTTGCAGGAGATCAAGGAGGTCATAGAAGCAACGGGCGCAGGGATGGCCGACTTCAATACCTGCAACTACATGGACGGCAAGGACAGGTTCTTCAAACCCGGCCGTTGGGTGGGAAGGCTCGAGAACTTGGAGTCCCTGGCAAAGGTTTGCAGGTGTCCGGCATGGGTCAGACATGTGCCGGTGACGGGAAAGAACACGACCGTGAAGGCGGGGGTGTATCCAGACCGCCTGTGCAGCGAGGTGGCAAAGCTCTACGTGGCAGCGTGGAAGAGAACGCTGGACCTGGAGTTCTGGCGCTGGAAGATGGTGCAGAAGTCGGAGGAGGTGTCATCTCTGAAGGCGGGATGGCTTAGAAATGAGGAGAAGCGCATTTCAGAGAAACAGGAGTCCAAGGGCACCAGAAGAGTAGGTCATGTTCTGGGGCCGGCCACAACGTTCAGGGAGCCCACATCAACCATGAACCTGAACCCCGAGACGGAGCTGGGCCCCAGGTCGCATACCGAATCCTCCAAGAGGCAGAAGAGAGAGGCTGAAAATGACTTCTGCATCGGCGGTATGAGGAATCCTCTGGCCGCAGTGAAGAGGCTATGGAAGTTGAAGGGCGTCGGCAAGCAGATAAGGCTGGCCTGGGAAGAGTTTGTGAAAGAGAGACCCGGGGCACTGACTTTGGGTGAGGACTATGGGACGATGGCGGCAAAGTACGACGAGACGATCGCTATGGAATGGCAGATCAAAGTGTCGTCGGTGCTGAACGTCACCCAGAGGGATGGGCTGACGCTGAAAGACAAGCTCATGTTCAAGAGCCCATTGAACGTGGACCTGTGGAGAGGATGGTTCAGAGCTACAGGTGACCCAGATTACCACGTGGCAGAATGGGCGGAATCCGGAGTCCCGCTGGGGATGGACGTGCCAATCCCACCATCCAACGGCATCTTCCCTCAGACGGGGGAAGTCACTCCGGAGTGCATGGAAGAAACCCCGGAGATTGAGATGCAGTCGCACGTGACGAACTACAAGAGCTTCATTGACTCCCCCGAAGATGCGGAGATAGAGGTGCAGAGGTACGTGGAAAAGGGCTTTGCACTACTCATGGATTGGGAGGAGGTGCAGACACACTTCGACCGGGGCACTGTGAGCCGGCTGGCATTGATTTTGAAGACCAAGCCGGACGGCAGCGTCAAGCGGCGGGTCGTGGTGGACTTGCTGAGGTCTGGAGGGAACGGGCGCACAGTGACGCCGGAGAGGATTGTCCTCCCTCGAATCATCGATGTCACCAAGATGGCCAGGGACATCGCGGCCAAGAACGAGGGGGACAACAAAGGCAGGGTGGCGGAGTTTGTCCTGTACGACCTGCAAGACGCCTTCTGCCACTTCCCCGTCTGCAGAGATGAGTTGTCGAACTGCTTAGCACCGGGAAACCGTGAGGGCCAAGCGATCCTTTTCCGGGCTTTGTTGTTCGGCTACAAGTCAGCCCCCTTGCTGATGGGAAGATTGAGCGCCGCAGTGGGACGCCTTTGGCAGGCGCTGATGTCCCCTACAGAGGGGCAGATGCAAATCTACGTGGACGATGTGTTGACTCTCATCAATGGCACCGAAGACGAGAAGGCGAACCTCATTTCCCTGGGCCTGTACACAATGAAAGCCTTTGGAGTGCAAATAGCCTTGGGGAAAGGAGAAAGGGGGCAGCAAGTCCAGTGGATTGGAGTGAAAATGCTGTTGCAGTGGCCCGAAAGCCCATTGAAGGGATCCATCACCTATGCGGCACCAAAGAGGATGGCAGACGAGATACTGGAGACCCTGAAGGGATGGCTGTCCAAAGGGATGGTGTCGCATAGAGAACTGCGGAGCACAACGGGCAAGCTCAGCTGGGTGGCAGGAATCCTGCCGAGACTGAGGTGGGCGGTGTCAGTCTTCTTCGCAGTGCTCCGTGACGCCGAAGGAGATGAGAGGTCAGGGGCGGAAGAAGAGAGAGCCAGAAACAGGGCCGACACCAGGCCAAAATACGGGCTGGTGGCAGTCAAGCGCTTCGGGGCCACTCTAAGATGGGTCATTGGAGCCTTGTCAAAGACAGACGGCTTTGCTATCAGAAGGGAGGACCTCATGGAGAAACCGGTCACCATGGGCATCATCTCGGATGCATCACCACTGGGCTTGGGTGCGATCTTAGTGACAGTGGCACCGCACGAAGGCACTCTCTATGTGGTGGAAGCATACGAGGCAAAGTTCAACAAGGCAGAGGCTGAGTTGCTGGCCGTCCAGCACGGCGAATCTGCAAGCCAAGGAGTGCTGGAGGCTTTGGCAATTCTCAGGGCCGTCAAGCTCTGGCGTACAAGGATCCAGGGCCGAGCTGTCTTCATCAGAGGCGACAGCGTGGTGGCGCTGGCAATGGCGAGGAAGCTGGCGAGTTCATCGCCTCAGCTCAACCATCTAGGAGGGGAACTGGCCATCAGACTGGAAGAGTATGGAGTGGTGAGGCTGGTGACGCAGCACATCCCGGGAGTCCTCAATACGGAGCCGGACTGGCTGTCCCGCATGCATGACCGAGACCCAGAAGTCCCCGCAAAGCTGCAGAAGGTGCGCATCAAGCAGCTTGCACCGATAACAGAGGAAGATTTTGTATTGCCACCCGCGGGAGCCAAACATGTCCCGTGGGAAGGCGTACCGCCACACAATGTGTCGGTGTTTCACAACCTTTGAATTTCGACTTTGGAAGGGTTGGGAAAACTGGGTGGCTTGTTGCATTTGAGTTGTTTTAATTTGGGGGGATTGTAACAAAATCTTGTTAATAAAGGTAGGATCATGGGTTGCGGCTGGATCTCCCGTGTGTCACTCACATGGATGAGAGATCACCGGCGCGGCCATAGGGTTCAAACACGGGTGGGCCATGTCAGCTGGGTCGAAGTAGCCGCGGATTGATGTCTGTGGTACCCAAGCCGACATGGGCAGAAAACGTGGTACTGCTGCCAAGGCCGCACCTGAGCATCCCGTGGATGTATCTATGGATGGTGTCTTTGAGCGTAGCATTCGTCCTAGGATGTCTGTGTTACAGGTTATGTGTGCCGCGGCTGTGCCAGTTGAGACAGTGGATGGGCGGCAGATTTCAAGGGAAACTCAGGAGTCACAGTTCCAGGCGGGCAACATTGGACAAGGAACCACAGTGGCGTCACAGTTCCAGGCGGGCATCATGGGACAGGGAAACGCCGTCGATGTACATGCCAGCAGCCTGCTCAGATCAGGACACTTCGTCATGGTCAACAATGAGCTCGCCAAAAGCAGGCGGCACAGGGAGACCTTCAATCAACTCCCCAGTGGCAAGAACAAGGAGATCACCAACGCCTCCAGCTACGTTGGACAAGGACACGCTGGAGAGGGGGAGAAGAGACCCCCAAGCCCTGCAAAAGCAGAGAAAAGCAAACCAGAACCAGTCCGTGCTGAAAGCAATGACGGAAATGGCGCGGGGAAAGGCGTCGGGGCGTGCAAGCCCAGGTCGGGCATGAAGGGGGCGATAAAGTTGGCCAAGGCGTCCAATGATTTGAGACGTGCGAAAGAAGCCTTCCGGAAGAAATTCCTTGCACAAGGCACCCTATTGGCAAGGAATGCCAAGCGCAAGAAGATCAAGGAATTGCTCGACATCCTGTGCGGGGAGGATCATTTCCCAGCGACCCAGGAGTTGATACTTGGGGTGGCGACAGCCTTGGATGAGGCACAGCTGCAGTCGGGTGATCAATACATCCACGAACTGAAATTGATGCATATCGAATCAGGCCACGAATGGAGCTCACCCTTGGAGAGACAGCTCTTCTTGTGCAAGAAGGCTCTGAGGCGCCATCGGGGGCCAGAAATTAGAGCTAAGGAATTCCAAATCGCTGACATCAGCGAGGAAGTGTGGCTTCAGAAATTTTCGAAGAAGGGACAATATGTCAGACCGGCATGGTTTTACGCAATGGCGGTCTTATGGATGTTGAGAGCCTGTGAGGCAACAGAACTGAGGATGGGTGATGTCGAGGTCGATTGCGATAAAAGAGAAGTGGCCATCACCGTTCGAAAGTCAAAGACGGACCAGGCGGCCAAGGGGATGAAACGGACCCTTGTGTGCTGCGGGAGGCAAAGTTGCAAGAGGGAGTGCCCGTTCGCGCTTGCAGTGATGGCGCTTGCAGAGAGGCCAAATGGAAAGGAGGCGGATCACCTGTTTGCAGTGAAGGGAAGGTCGAAACGAGACCGTGCTCACACAGCGAAGTGCTGGGCCGAAACCCTCAACAGGGGCATCACGGGTCACTCAGCCAGACGCTCGGGTGCAATGTTCTACACGAGGAAGGGCATGGACGTCCAAGACATCTCATTTCTTGGGCGTTGGCGGAGCTCTGCAGTTTTCCGCTACATGGAGGAAGCTATGCAAGAGAAGCCGATGAACGCAAAACTGAAAGAACCCAAGGAGGACGAGGTAAAACTCTCCGTGGTGAACCACACTCAAGCGATGGAGAACTGGTCGGCATCGTTGTCAGGGGAAGCGACACGTGCTCCCTCCACACCGGCGCCGGGGACTCCTGCACCAAGGACACCAGCCCCGGGCACGCCCAATCCAGTGAAGTTGCCGGAGAACCCTGAAGATTCCGAGCTGTGGGCCACGTCCTGGGGAAGAAGCAGAAAGAAGGTGGTGCACTGGGTAACCAAGGCATCCTGGCAATCAGATTTGAATCAGTGGGCCACTGCCTGTGGGTGGCACTTCGCGCAGCGGGCGGTAAAGGTCACCCTGTCTAAGATCCCACCAGCAAACACTCCAAAGTGCATCAAGTGTGAAAGACTGAAAGAGCTGCGCGACAAGAGTCCTGGAGGAGTTGGATTGGCGCAGATCGTATCTGTTGAGCTGGATGCGGTTCTGCAGAAAGAGTCCAAACAGGACATCGTGCAGGTTTGACAGATGGGGTCTAAGGACCCAACTTGCAATGCACAAAAGAGCTGCTGGTGGTGAAGATAGGGGTGGTTGGTGGGTCCTTCTTCATGGAGGGAAATGAAACGCATTGCTTGAGAACTCCCTAGAGTGACTAGCAAGAAGTGAATGCACCTCCAATGAAACGTATGCCATTTTGGCTGCAAGGGTTTTAACCATGTAGCCTCCTTCCTCCCCTTTTGAAATTCCACACCCACCCTCCCTGAAATAAGGGGAGGAGTGAGGAGTTGGATTGGCGCAGATCGTATCTGTTGAGCTGGATGCGGTTCTGCAGAAAGAGTCCAAACAGGACATCGTGCAGGTTTGACAGATGGGGTCTAAGGACCCAACTTGCAATGCACAAAAGAGCTGCTGGTGGTGAAGATAGGGGTGGTTGGTGGGTCCTTCTTCATGGAGGGAAATGAAACGCATTGCTATATAATTCTAGGTCATTTTGCAGATGGAATTTGACAATGAACACTGAAACTTTCAAGCATTGGTTCAGCTTACCAGCATGAGAGCTTTGGCTTGACACTAATTGAAATAGAATGAAAGAAAGGACGGAGCAAGTCGATTTGGGCCCCATGGCTAGGTCGCTGACAAATCGCAGAATGCGGTCTTCTATTTTGCGTCCAACATGCAGATGCTGGAACCAAATAGACCTTTGGTCAAGGCCTCACATTTGAGAAGAGCGTCAAAACTTTGCGGCGAAACAGATCAACTGTGCAGCAACCGTGCAAACATAATGAAGCGCAATTTCGAACGGTACAGCGGACATCATTTGATCAGGGGTCATATGAGTCTTATAAGCCATAGTATATCACAATCCTCAGCACCACACGTGCCTCAAAGATTAACGGCTGTGGACAGGCTGCAGAGCTTCAGGGGGCATTTGGTTTGGCCATGTTCGATGCGGTGCCAAGGGGAGGTGAAGAGGAGATACACTGTGTGTATATTGCAAATACACACGCATTTGTCATTTGTCACATAATGTATTTATAGATACATGATATTTTTATGCACTATATTTATAGCGTCAAGCCTTTTCATGACGGTAGCTTGCTCCAACCAAAGTCGTTCTCTTAGCCGCACATGCCCAAAGGTGGCACCATGTCAGCGCTGACTGATCCTTCTGTGTTGATTCGCGTTACAAGATATACAGCTGCTGCGTGCGGCACAAGCGATGCCACCCGCATCTTCCCGGCCGATGGCCGCAACTGCAACACACAAGGCTTGCCATTATTGCAGATGCCCCGTGATTGATTGCCGCGCGTTTCCTTGTGTCTTGTTGCGCCCGTTCTCCCGGCGACGCAATGCGAGCCCTACACAAATCCAAGCTGGAGCACTGGCGCCAAAACAGGACTGCAATCCTATCGGTTTTTCTAGGCAAGCCATACAAAGGAGCAATTTAGGACCGTCGGCCCCGTTTTCCAGGCCTCCTCATTACCACCACCGGGCAACAGTTCATCTTTGCAACGCCAGTAACCACATGATGGGGAAAATTGTGGAGGCTTGGGAACGCACTGGCGTGCCCGAGGTTTCTGCTCCTGCGGTTGGGACCTCTGCCCTGCACGCATACGCATGAAGAGCCTCAATGCATGCCACCAGAGCGATGTTTTTCATTGCAATCAAAGACCTTCATTTTTCGCGTGGTTTTTGGGCCCTTGTGAGTGCTGTGTAACCATCACACATGCTTGTCAAAACGCTGGCATATATTCAATATATATATATATATAGTTATAGTTATAATGTTACAGTATATATATATGTATATATATATACACACACACCTTCACACACACCTTCACACACCCCTACGGACCAAAGATGCAAGGTCATGGTTTGCCATGCTCACGCGCTTTTTTGGGCCTTACGGGCATTGTTTGCAGTAAGGCTTTGTTGTCCCTTCAGTCAACGAGTTGCAGCTCCGGATTTGTTGTAGACAGCATGTTTCTTCGAAGGGAAGAGTCCCACAAAGCGCGGGTATGCTTAAATGCGCACCGTAACCAACAGGGTTGAAACTTTGCTGCACATGGGCTCTGAAAGTCTTGGGCCCTTCCGAAGCGCGGCGGGTGCAACAGAAAAGGATGGATATGTCCGACTAAAGAAAAATTGGAGTTGCTCGCGCAGAAATACCAGCAGGAACCAGTCAAGACACACTTGGCCAGGACAGGCCAGGACCATGGTGAACGTAGAAACTATAGCAAGAAGGGCTGTCCCCTTTGGAACTAGAAATCATTTCTCCAAACACAGATTTTCAGGACAACTTGATCAACTTGCATTGAGGCGAATTTGCTTTGTTGAAAACATCACCAAAACTGAGGTAACATTCACATTTTGGGACAAACATCACAAAAACTGATGCATATGGTATGAAACCAAACAGATAGCGCGGTGCCCCCAGCAAATTGGTTGCTCCAGCCACATTTTGGCTGTGCAAGCCAGGCTACACTCTTGGCGCCCTAAAATTCAAAGACAATGCCCTCATGGACATAGGCCCTCGTAGTATACACACCGACCCTATATACTTATTACGAAAGCCAGCTAGCTGGCTAGTTGCTGTTTGCGAACGAAGTGAGAATAGGGGGTGTGGGGGGGGTGGTTGCCGAAAGGGAACGAAATCTCGCCGTGCCCTTGTGTTGAGCGCCAGAAAACGGAGCATTTTGCTGGATTATGTACCACTAGGTAATTTGCTGACGGTGGGGTATCGATTCCCCCTAGGTCCGCCTTTTTGGTGGCCGGAGAGACCATGAGGATGTATTGGAAAATACAATGAAACTGCAGGAGAACATGATAACGATCAGAGGAAATCGTACAAAATCCCTTGGAAAACGGACGAAAACGGAGCGAATGCGAGGAACAAACCATGGAAAATCCCTTGGAAAATGGAGGAAACCGGAGCGAATGCTAGGCGCAAACCATGACGATGCAGTAAACATGCTGGAAAAATACAGTGAAAGCGCAGGAAATGTGATAACAACGAGGGGAAATGGTGCAAAAAGGATCGGAAAATGAAGGAGACAGGTAAAACTCTTGGATGAATATTAATATTGAAAAGGTATGAAAATGCAGGAAACCAGAGGAAATGGTGCAAAAACCTATGGAGGAAAGAGATGAAAATGATAGGAAGCATGTAGTAAAAAAATGCTGGACAAACATATTGAAAACCCACGAAGAGGATGTATTGGAAAATACAATGAAACTTGAGGAAACCATGATAACGATCAGAGGAAAATGCTAGGAACAAACCATGCAAAATCTGTTGGAACATGGAGGAAACCGGAGTGACTGCTATGAACAAACTATGACGATGCAGTAAACAAACATGTTGGAAAAAGACAGTGAAAGTGCAGGAAAATGCGATAACAACCAGAGGAAATGGTGCAAAAACGATCGGAAAATGAAGGAGACGAGTAAAACTCTTGGAAAAATACATTGAAAATGCAAGGAAATGGTGCAAAAAGGAGACGGGTAAAAATCTTGTAAAAATAGATTAAAAATGCATGAATAGACTGAAAACCCACGAAGAGGATATAGAAACTGCAGGAAAACATGATAACAATCAGAGGAAATCGTGCAAAATCCACTGGAAAATGCTGGAAAGATACAGTGAAGGAAAATGTGACAACAACCTGGCAGGAAAATGTGATAACAACCAGAATAAAGGGTGCAAAATCTGTTGGAACATGGAGGAAACCGGGGCGACTGCAGGAACAAACTATGACGATGCAGTAAACATGCTGGAAAAATACAGTGAAAGTGCAGGAAAAATAACAACCAGAGGAAATGGTGCAAAAACGATTAGAAACTGAAGGAGACGGGTAGAACTCTTGGAAAAATATATTGAAAATGCATGAAATGCAGGAAACGAGAGGAAATGGTACAAAAAGCCATAGAGGAAAGCGGTGAAAATGGTAGGAAGCATGTAATAAAAAAAGCTGGACAAAACACAGTGAAAACCTACAAAAGAGAAGAAAGTAACCACAGGAAACGGTAGAAAAAGCAGTGGAAACTGGAAGAAAAGTTGTGACAATATTAGGAAAACGGTGTACAAGCTAGGAAATGCTTGTAACAACTAGAGGAAACGATGTAGAAAACAGTACAACATGGAGGACACGCGTGAACATGCTAGGAGGCATGTAACATGTTAGAAAAATACAGTGAAAACCTAGGAAAATGTTATAACTAAAAAATGCTTTAAAAATATAGTGAAAACCAAGACAATGTCAACGAGCGGAAACGTTGAGCAGGAAATCCGATTTGGTTTCTGTAGATAATGTTAGATGATGAGCAATGTAGTTTGGTGATAGGAAATAGTGGCTGACTCGCGTACAAGACATTGCCATGAAACCTTGGAGCAAGATGCGGATGGTATAGGAAAAAAGATGTATGAGTTGTAAGATTTTAGGAGTTGCATGGGAAAATTGGTTTCATGGTAATCTGTGTGAAGTTAGAAAAGTGTGATTTCGTTCACAGAGTAAGAAAAATAAATACAATCTGCAGATTAGAGTATTTATAATGCTTAAAGCTGTTTGACGTTTTTTGGTGCCTCCCTGATTCTGGTAGTTTTGTGATAAGAACTACAAAAACGATCTACTGGTAAACGGAAGGAATAGTCTTTCCGGTTTAGAACTGAGTCGACTGTCAAGTGATGCATAGGCTCCAGGCCTCTGGTTATTGTCACAAAGCATTGGAATGAAGATTGCGCCCAGGAGCCACCTAGGTTAGGAGACAAATGCTGTAATATCATTGTAAGAGGCCGTACTGAGAAGGCTGAAACAGAACTAAAAGTGAATCTTGTACTAAAACATCGAGAAAGAATTTGAATCTTCTAATGGCAATGACGGGAATGATATGCATCTGTACGTCCGTGATAGTATGTGTGCCTTTTAAAAGGGATGTTTGGCGAGTGTGATAGCTGAGAAGATTTTCCGGGATGCCAAACAATTATCTCTATCGATGTCAGGGATGATGCTATTCCGCGACATTTCCTGTAAAATACCTATTTTCCAGACCCTTGGGGGGTGGGGGGGGGTACCCAGGTCTGTAAATGGCCTAAATATATATACTTTTGATTTGGACTGCATGTTCGCCACTGTTCTATATTTCCCGTGGGTTTTGCATTGTTTTCCTCGATTTTCATTCGTTCTTATACCCTTTCTTACGTATGTTATAATATTGTCTTGGGTTTGCACTGCCCATTTTGCGAGTAGAGCTATGTTTTGATTTCTCACCGTACGGCCAAAATGTTGCGGAACTTCGCGGAGAAGCATGGACCACGATTCTGGGGAGAAAACAATTTAGACTTTGAGAGGTCACATGACCACTGTTCACACAAAAAAGCGGGTATTATTTATCTACAATAGGTGGGAGCAAACTTGCGCTGTTTTAAGATAAATGAGCAACCAAAGGCGGATTTACGGAACTTGAGATAGAACTTTTCACAATGCCGCAGTACATTGTAGGAAACATATTTGGATATAGAAGTTACAAAATCGTGGAGTTTACCCTAAAAAGGTCCATTTAATGATTGGAAAATTATGACCCGATAGCAATTGTTGATGTTGGGGCGCTTCATGTTTGAGCCATGCCATATGGATGAGGTGGAGTTTCACGCGCCCCCGCGAGTCAAAAAGCAAGCGCTGGCTTTCGTTCCACCCCTTCTCAGGTTCAGTTAAATATAATACTATATACATATATATATATATTGATATTATTTTTTTGCATTAATTTATACAACGGACAAAAAAAAACTTGGATTGTTCAGAGCTGCAGCACATATTGCCATTCCTGGACGCAGGGCTACCGAAGTCCTGGCTTGCTTCGGTGAGCATAATTCAGCGCCTGCTTTGGAATGTTTCACTGCAAATTCCGGAAAAAGCCCTGCGTTCCTGTCGCTGTGGTGATAGCCGTGAGTTTGGAATAGCTCGTGTGTGTGTCTATATATTTTGTTTTGTCTCATTTGCCACATGTCGTCCTCGTCCTCGTCCGTCGGATCTTGCGCTTGGTTTCCCACGGTGGTGATAGCGCGTTTCCTCGTCCTGCTATGATGCGCGGGGCAAAGTTTTGAGGTTTTGGCATTTTTCGGCAAATATTGGAATCCTGGAAACTGCACAGTTCCGCAGGTATCCACAGGTCCTCTGATCCCGCGGGTCCTTGGATCCGAGATGGTGAATGATTCTGAAAGGTTGTTGGCACTGAGGTCACAAGATGTCAAGACATTTGTTACGGTGTCCAAATGACTGCATTTTTTTATCTGAAGACAACTAAATTGCATGAAAGACTTGCACGATTCGCAAGACCTCGGCAGCGCAGGCTTGAGAACCAGTCTGGGCATTCACGAACCTGTGACACACTTTGCAAAATCATGTGCAGATGAGCATCAGTTGCGGTTGCTTCTAGTTGTGTTTTGTTTTGCCACTCACAAGTGGGGCAACACCTGCAGAGCTGATGGCGTCCCCTCCAAGCCGGTCCGTAAGGTTCACGAGTTTGACTTGATATGTTTTGTTTTTGCTCTCCCTGAGGCCTTTCACAGTGATTAATTCATCTGATCTTTCCGCCATGCCCGTGTTCGTTTGCATGTTTTTTCCACATTGCTCACATGTTTTCCACTCTTGTCACCACGTTCTACTATATCAGGTTCTGGCAAGTTCTCACAGGTTCTAGCAGGTTCCAGCAGGTTCCAACAGGTTCCAGAACGTTAGGTTCTAACTGGTTCCAATGTTGGATTGCCCACTCAGTTTCCAGCTCCGTGTTGACAAGCGTGTTTTTGTCTTACGTAACACCATGTCAACAAAGAAGCTTGTTTGCTTGAAGATCTGGTTTTCTCACAAGGCAGATCCGATGCAGTGTCAGAGGATTTGCTTGCCCCCGCGACCACTGGTCAGGTCCTCAATCAACATGCCTGAAATCAAGTATCTTTGACACCTGTCCAATTCGGTTCTATCGTGAGTACACAGATCTAGAATTCAAAAGCGTTTGCTTCAAACAGTGCGTTTGTTCTTTGCGTGGCTTGCCATGGCTTGCCCACTTTTTTGCTGGAGTGCTTAGCGTCGGACGATTTTTTCTCTGTTTTTTTTCCCCTTTCCCCTTGGCCCAGAAGCGCCATCCATCGTTTTCGTCCCCTTTCGATTTGTTCGTTTGAGGAACAATTTAGCAAACGATAATTTGTCGATTGAGGGGCTCCTTTCCAGAAAACACCATCGGCAATACTGTAGCAAGTGTGACTCATGTGACCGTCAACGACCGCGACGACCACGACGATTTTGACGACCACAGCCCAACCACAACAGCAGCAATATACCAACTGAACCAGCAGCAACAGCAACAGCAACGACTAAACTAGGTCCACCGCTCATAGGCGGCCGTGGTGTAAAATAGCATTTCCAATGATTCAATGTTGTTTGAATCACGCAATTCCACTGCGGTTAAGGGACAGTCTTTGATTTCACATGTTTCATGCGTAGTTCCATTGGGGAAAATATTGTCCTGATAGAAACCAGTAGAACTGTATTCTATTTTTTTGCCCGCAACTAAGGACTCCATTCATCTTTTGTGCATCATCACCATCATCATCATCACCATCATCACCATCATCATCATCACCATCATCATCATCATCACCATCATCATCACCATCACCATCAGCATTGCCACCACCATCATCATCATCATCATCGTCATCACCATCACCACCATCACCACCATCATCATCATCAACATCATCATCATCATCAGCAGCAGCATTGCCACCATCATCATCATCATCATCATCATGAACAACAACACCATCATCATCATCATCATCATCATCAACACCATCCTCATCATCATCATCACCATCACCATCAGCATTGCCACCACCATCATCATCATCATCGTCATCACCATCACCACCATCACCACCATCATCATCATCAACATCATCATCATCATCAGCAGCAGCATTGCCACCATCATCATCATCATCATCATGAACAACAACACCATCAACATCATCATCATCATCAACACCATCATCATCATCATCATCGTCATCACCATCATCAGCAGCATTGCCACCATCATCATCATCATCATCATCATCATCATCTAGGAAAAACGTTTACAACGTAGCATCAAAACAACGGAGTCAAGTAAAACGCACGCGACCAGGACGTTTATTACGCCCCCCCCCCAACCCCCCCAAACCCCCCCAACCCCTCCCAAAAAAAAGATAGATATGAAATGCGTCTGAAGTTCTAGGAAGAAAGTTCACAACGTAGCATCAAGAGCGTCTGAAGTTCTAGGAAGAAAGTTCACAACGTAGCATCAAGAGCGTCTCAAGTTCTAGGAAGAGAGTTCACAACGTAGCATCAAAACAACGGAGTCAAGTAAAATGCACGCGACAGGACGTTATTACGGCCCCCCCCCCGAAAACAACCCCCCCCCACCCCCCGAAAAACCAACCCCCACAATTAAAAAACACCAAAAAGGAGAAAACAAGGTAGAAAAACAAAAACGCCACGGCCATTTGTGGGCGGTGGTCCAACGACGCAAGCAGCGTCTGGAAGCGCAACCCTAGCAGCAACATTTATCAACTCACTCGTTCCTTCCTTTTATTGTAGAGCTTCGCACACCGGCGATGCCATAAGGGTTTTGTATAGTAGTGTGACGTTGGTGTTGTTCATGTGTTCGGCCCTTGCGCGCAGGTGCAGAGCACAGAATGATGTGCTTTTCATACCGCAGCTTGTAACACATCTTTTTGTCGCATTTTTGTGCTTCTTCTTCTTCTTCTTCTTCTTCTTCTTGGTGGTGGTGGTGGTGGTGATGCTGTTGCTGTTGCTGTTGTTGTTCTTGTTCTTGTTCTTGTTCTTGTTCTTGTTGTTGTCGTTGTCGTTGTGGTTGTCGTTGTGGTTGTGGTTGTTGTTCTTGTTCTTGTTCTTGTTCTTGTTCTTGTTCTTGTTCTGATTGTTGTTCTTGTTCTTATTCTTGTTCTTGCAACACATCTTAATTTCGCATTTTTGCGGGCCCCTAGAAAATCGTCACATAGGTTGTGTTTTCGGATTTTTTGACCCGCCCGGAGCAAAAAACGCCGTAAATACCGATGTTTTTTGCGCCTCGGAAGCCCAAAACCACAGTATTTACGATGTT